GACTCAGTCGCCAGCTCAGTGTGTTGGAGACAGGGCCAACACCTCATATGGTATGGGGAATTGAATCCCAGTCCCTGTGCTTGCCTAAGCAGGCGCTTAGTCCACTGAGTTATCTCACTGACCCTTTTCCTCTCTTCATAGCACATAGATTTGCATCTATACATCCTCCCAGATCTTAAACATTCCAGCATAGCACCTTCGTGCACTCACCGTGGCACTCATGGTGGTTTGTGCATGTCCAGGCAGCACACGCTGGATACATAATGGTGAGAAGACAAAGCTCCTGCCCTACAGTCCACTGAGTAAGGCAGAAGGGGTTAAAATGTAATTTCTATTCTCCAGGCTAATGACCTAGACAAGGTATTAAGAACTGAGATTAAATTAAAACTCTAAAGACAGGAAGAAATGACAATGGCTATAACTTACTAAGTTGTTCCACTGTGGTATGAAATAATGCTTCTTTTGAATTACAAAGATTTTTTTCTTTGCAAATTCTAATGTAGTTAGAACTACATTTCCCAGGGTACAATAGCCACTTGCTATGCTATAGAACCCTTGACATGGGGCAAGTCTGAATTAGGGTTTGCTATAAGTGCAGATTTACAAAAGGCAGAGGGCTAATGCAACTTTAATGTATATTAATCACATTAAAAGATTTTGAATAAAAATGTTGAATATATTAAACAAATATATTTTTAAAATGTTAGAAGTCCTCTTGTCTGACATTGTTCTCATAAGTAACTGAGGAAATGTGTTTAATAAACTAGGGAGAGGCCTGCTAGTCTTCTATCCCTGAAAGAACAGGAATCTTGGGAATAAAGAAGTGTGCTAAATTATGAGTAAATTAAGTGAATGCTGACTAAAAGAATCTCAATTCTTAGGGTCCAAGGATATAGTTCAGTTGCACAAGCACTTTCCTAGCAAGCACAAGGTCCTGAGTTTGATTCCCAGTACAGAAAAAAAAGAAAGAAAGAAAGAAAGAAAGAAAGAAAGAAAGAAAGAAAGAAAAGAAGAATCTTAACTCTAAATAAACAAGATACAAACACATGGTATTAAAAAGAAGTGCAGGGCCGGGGAGATGGCTCAGTAGGATAAGCGCTTCCCTGGCAAGCGCAAGGGTCTGAGTTCAATCCCCAGTTCCACAAAAAAAAAAAAAAAAAAAAAAAAAAAAAAAAGTGCAGTTGATAAGGCACAAAACAATTAGTGGACTCCATTAGGTAGATGAGTATGTGGTGACAAAGGATGTATAGTGAATATGGGTATTTGAATGGGGGTAAGAGACTGTATGAACTTCAAGATGGAAGAGACCAGGTAAAGTTTAAGAGATGAACAATTGTAGATTATTTATGAAAAATGGCATCTCTTTGATTTGGCTTGAGTCAAGAGACCATGCAGGTAAGCACTTTACTGTTAAAAGTATGGTAATTACTACAGAATATAGTCATTTACATATGTAGAACTTTAGCTTAAATTGAGTTAGCCCAGCATATGCTGAAGAGTAAAGGCAATGTTTCCTGCTACCCAACTTAGGTCTAATTTTTAAACCTGAATATTGTACTCACAGAAAAGGGTACATTAATAGTAGAGTTTGAATTTTTAAACTGTGAACACAACCATGAAATCAGCATTCAAAGCCAGAAATGCAGCAACCCAGAATCTCCTTCATGCTCAACAGCCTTCCCAAGCAGGTGACCACTAGGCTAACAGCACACATTAGCGCTGCCTATCTTCATACCTTTATACAAATTGAAGCACATGTTGTGTAGTCTTCTGTGTCCAAAACTTAAACATCAGTTCAAACCTCACGTGACAGAATCCTAGTGTTAGCATTTTATTATAAATTTAGACAAGCCTCAACTGTTTTTATATCTATAAAAGCATATTATTTATCTCATAGGATTACTAGAACTAAATGAGATTATATTTGTAAAAGGTTTAGCATAGTGGCTGGCATGACTGTAGCTATTAAAATAAACTTACACTTTTAGTCTATGCAAGACTCCAATGGACCACTTAACCCAGCTAACTCTGCCTACTGGAGGGGAAAAATTGTCTGAGCAGACTCCAAGTACTTTATTATATACTTACCTCTTCTAGAACACAGTATCACCCTTCTGAAGGGTCATATACTATTTAACCACAGTACCTAACATAGAACATAGTAATAGCAAGCACTAAAACTGAGTAAGTGCTGTCCTAGGATTTAGGAAATTATGTTAAGAATCTGCTTACACCCTTGGAGCTATGGTTGGCAAAATTACAGTTCAAACAGAGTAAAGTGAATCTCTCTCCCTCTTTTCCTGTGCTAGCCAGGAAAATCCATTCAAACCAAGTACGTTCTGTACTTGGAGCTTAAGTACACAAGTCTGAGAACTTCAAAATAAGAGCAGCACATTATACTACTTTATGTGTTTAGCTTGCTTCAAACTCAACAGCTTTTAGTGTACTTGTGTTAAGACAGTAAAGTTTTCAAAAACACTCTTCCTAGCACATCAGTCTTGAGTAATCTTTTCTAAGTGTAGTTTATCCTAGTTTT